TTAGCTGTAATTTTTTTTTGCTCATATTTTTACATCATAACAACGTCTATATTTAAAATGGATGTTTATTAATGGTATATAAATAAACATATTTGAAATTAATCAAAAAATTTCTTCTCCCCTCTTTTTTAAAAGGTTAAATTACCCATGATATTTAATAATAGTATGACACTTACAAGTTTCTTTTTTTCTGTGTTCAACAAAAATTTATCATTCCACTTTTTCTCCCTTTTTCCCCTTTACCTTCACATTTCTCCCCTATTTCAATCATAATCATTGCCAAGTTTTTTTAAAGTTAACAAAGGTGATGTTACCTGGTACCACTTAAATCGAAAAGTGGGCAAACAGAAGAAACAAAATATGCTGCTATCAGGTAACCAGCAACAAGTTACACTGCATGCTAATGTTTCAAAACAACAGGACAAAAAAAAACTTAATTTAGTCTAAATTGTGTCTTAGCCAATTTTTTTTTTCTCCAACATCTCAAACCTTAGTTATTTTGTTTTCTTTCTTCCCTCACTCTTATATTCATTAAAAAACCCCATAGCAGTTGAAGCGTATAGCTTATTCTGGATCTTTAAAAGAAATTTTCTTTCACTCGCTGTTTATCCAAACCTGCTCGTAATTCAGCCAATTTATTTTTATGCCTGCTTGTAATCATTGATCAACCTCGTCTACTTAACATCTGCTTGAAACAGTGACAGTTGTACATCATTGATAGTCAAATTGAGATGCACTCTAAAATCCAGTATTACAACAACACTTTCGTAATGTCTGTCTTAAAACTGGCAACCGGTAGTTCCAGACAGACGTCGTCCAATAGTAAAATTCTGATGTGTTCCTGCATATTTTTTCCTGTGAAACACGTCGCATGGTAAGTTTTTAAGAGAATCTTGTATTGGTACAATGTATCCTCAGCTTATCAAAAATTAGTGCATCAAACATGATGGAAGGTGTCAAACCTGTAAAGATGCATATATGAATCTCCAAGTAAATAGATGGGAAAAACGATAAGGAAACTGAGAAT